GGGAGGCGTGGCCGCGGCGACGTGGCGGGAACAGCCCCGCAGCGCGGACGGAGAAACCCAGGCGGCGCGCGCCGGGGAGGTCCCGACTGAGGCGACCTTGTCTCAGGGCGACAGCCCGGCCGAGGCCCATGGCGATGGCCACGTCCTCAACCCCGCCCGGGAAGACGCGGAGCCCCGGCGGGAGGCCGGCTGTGCCGTCCGAGCCTCGCGCCCCCAGCGGCGGAGAGGACGGAGCGCCCTGCCCCGGGCGCACGGCTGGGCCCAGCACTGGCGGGGAGGCCAGGCCTCCGGCGAACTTCTGTCATCTCCTCCTGCCCTTTCCGGGCCGCCCGGATTGGAATGGCCCCTACCCCATCCCGGGGCCCTGCTCGTTTCTCTCCGTAGCCCCGATCATTACCGGTCCTTATGTTATTCATGATTTCATTAATTATCATTTTTGTTTGTTGGTTTGCTTCCATTGTGTCTCCCCCCCCCCCCCCCCCCCCCCCCCCCCCCCCCCCCCCCCCCCCCCCCCCCCCCCCCCCCCCCCCCCCCCCCCCCCCCCCCCCCCCCCCCCCCTAATTCAACAAAAACTTCCTGAGGACTGGAAATTGGAGGGGATGCCGGGAGGCAAACTGAGTCCTGCGCTAGACATTCTGGGGTTGGGAAGAGCGCTGCAAACGCAGATGTGATCCTTGTGGGGTGAAGGAAATAAAATCAGAAGCGAGGGGACTGCTGGTCAAGTGACCTTAGATCAGGCCACCTTAGATATGGTGATTAGGGAAGGCCTGTCTGTTTAGGTGATTTAAATTAAACCCACAAATAAACTATGACAAGTGCTAGAAGGGATAAGTAGGAAGCTATGAGGGCACTTAATTCTCACCCAGCCTCAGGGAGCAGGGAGCTGAGGTCTGAAGAATCAAGGTCAAAACAATCGCGGTCCCTTAAGTTTCTCACAGGTGGGGGCACTATCAAAGGTCACGGAAGGCTTCCTGGTGGAGGTGGTGGTTTGACTGGGCCCCAAAAGCAGAGTAGGAGTTCTCATCCTTTAGGATGGGTTGACTGGGTTTTGTTTTGCAGGCTCCCTGGGAACTACGTCTAAGGGCTGAGCTGTTTGGCCAGACGGGCATCCCCTGCTCTCCCCCAGTGAGCTCTGCTGGTAAGTGAGTCACGGCAAAGGCTCCCCCCAGAAGGTGTTAGGGAATTGGGAGACCAAGTTCTGCTTCTCACTGGCCATCTGACCTTGGGCAGTTTCACTTCACTGCTCTGGGCCTTAGTTTTCCATGAGTCAGGAGGACAGTTGGATCATCATTTATGATGATCCTTGGGACACTAACATTCAGTGGTTGTGGTTGGTTCTTCTCAGCCATACCCAAAAAAGAGCCCTGCCCTGACCCCGTCTGGCCCTGAAGGCTGCATGTTCTTACTAAAGGACACTGTGCAGTACACAAATGAGAGGCCAGTAGAGACCCAGGAGGGTCACGGAAAGGCTGGAGGTTTGGCCTCAGAATTAAAGCTGAGAGGCTCCAGATTAGGGGATAGTATAAGCACATCTGTGGGTTTGGGGTCCATTTCAGCCCAGCTGGGGCCAGTTTCTTTGGATTTTAAAAAGCCACGTCATCCTGCCATACCTCCTGGTCCGATGCAATCACATTATCCTTCTCTCTGAGTCCTCTGATATCCAGTTTTTTGCATGATCCTCACAATATCTCTTTGAGAGGCCAGCCCGTGGCTCACTTGGGAGAGTGCGGTGCTGATAACACCAAGGCCCTGGGTTCGGATCCCACATAGGGATGGCTGGTTCGCTCACTGGCTGAGCGTGGTGCTGACAACACCAAGACAAGGGTTAAGATCCCCTTACCGGTCATCTTTTTAAAAAAAAATTAAAAATAAATAAATAAATAAATAAAACAATATCTCTTTGAGAGAAAGGCAGGGAAGACGAGCCTGTTTCACGAATGAAGACACTAAGAGCCTCAGGGATACAGTGAGTGGGGGTGTCTGGTTAGGCTAAGACCTGGAATCCTCACAGCGCCAATTGTCCAGCTCTTAATCCTGTTCATGACACCAATTGTAACCCTAGGCAATTATGCTAATTGTGTGGCTCTTTTACCTGCCGGTAATCCTGCACCAACTGGGCCGAAGGTTGAGCTAGGGCTGGGTCTGGAGCTCCCAGACCCCTCAAGCCCATTCACAGACTGGGTCACAAACCCTTCACATGCCAGGCTGGGTCACTGGACCCCTTCATGCAGGTCTATAAGCTAGGCAACCTGCCACACGGTCCTTGGAAGCTGCAGGTCTGGAAAAACATGGCCATGCAGGGTGGGCGCCGCCAGAGGCAGTAAAACACCAGCCAAAGCGGCGCCACCTTGCAGGTGCTCTTACTCCACCCACACACAATGTTTATGGAACCACCCTCAACCGGCTCCTTGCAGGTGCACTTACTCCACCCACACACAATGTTTACAGAACCACCCTGAACTGGATCCAAGGTGAGGGGAGCTTGACCAAATTGTTCCATTTTCCCAACAGGGGGACTGGGGCCCAGGTCATCTCCAGAGCCAATGCTCTTCCCCAGGGGGTCACAGGGACCACCTCCTCTAATCTGCTGCCACTTCTTTCTCCTCAGTTCTTGTGGGAGCCATGAAGCTGAACAAGAGGAGTGTGGCCCACTATGCACTGAGCGACTCCCCGGCAGACCACACAGGCTTCCTGCGCACTTGGGGTGGCCCAGGGACCCCACCCACCCCAAGTGGTACTGGTCGAAGATGCTGGTTTGTCCTCAAGGGCAACCTGCTGTTCTCCTTCGAGAGTCGTGAGGGCCGGGCCCCACTGAGCCTGGTGGTGCTGGAGGGCTGCACAGTGGAACTGGCCGAAGCCCCTGTGCCTGAGGAGTTTGCCTTTGCCATCCGCTTTGATGCCCCAGGAGTGCGTCCACACTTGCTGGCAGCAGATGGGCCGGCTGCCCAGGAGGCCTGGGTGAAGGTGCTGTCCCGGGCAAGTTTTGGCTACATGCGCCTGGTGGTCCGAGAGCTGGAGAGCCAGTTGCAGGATGCCCGCCGGAGCCTGGCCTTGCATCGCCGCTCGTCCTGGAAGGCCCAGGCTCCTGACCACTGGTCTCCAGGCCTGGAGAATGGCCACTCTCTCTCCAGGGATTGCAGCCCTGTGGGCTTGGTTGAAGAAGAGGGCAGCAGGCCAGCAGGGCGGAGTTTGGCTGAGCGGGAGTTGCAGGGCCCTGCCAGCCTCCTCCTAGGCAGGGGACAGAGCCCCGTATCCCCTGAGACCTCTTGCTTCTCTACTCTACATGATTGGTATGGCCAGGAGATCATGAAACTGAGACAGGGGTGGCAGCAGAGGGCCCGGTGGAGCCAGCGAGAATGTGAGGACCAGGATAGGGCCTGAGACTGGGCCCTTTGAGTTCTGCCCCTGTTCTGCTGGTCACGATGTCAGGGCCAGTGCTTTTTCAGGAGTTAAGTGTTTACTCATTTCCAAGGTTGCTTTTGGGGGGGTGGCAAAGCTATCTCCTTCTTGCTTTTTAGGCCTTCCCTATGTTCCAGACCCACCCTTGTGCCTAGAGGGGACTGAAGAATCATTACTTCCAGTCTCTTTATTTCCTGAGGCCCAGAGAGGAAAGATGCTTGATCAGCATCCACAAAGCACATCTCCTGACTCGGTGCTGGACAGCCCCTCTTTCAGGGGATGTGAATGAAAAGGAGGAAGTGGGAAATGTTACATGGCCATAGGCCACCCTACGATTGACCACTCTATAACCACAGTTTCCAACACTGGGAGTCCTGTGTGCATTTAAATATCAGAAGTTATTCGCTTGAGGGGCTGACATTATCAGAGAAAATGGATTTTTGTGTCATAGGGATTTCTGGAAACTCACTCTTCCTGAGGGGGGTGGGAAGATTGGGCATAGGACCCCCACTCTGCAGTTTGGGTAGGGCCCTTTGGTCTTCAGCCAATAAAGAGAGATTTATTCTGCTCAGAAAGTGTTGGGGCCCCCATCCTCTCTCTCTCTGGCTGCCCTGTAAACAGATGGTGCACAACTTTGCCCTGGGAAGAACTGGTAGCTGTTATGTATCAGCAGAAACCCTTTCTGTACTCTGCCCTCAGCAGCCAGCTCCTGGAGCTACAAAGTGGGAAGTTAAAGAAGAGGTGGGGAGGCAGTGTGGCTCCCTGAGGAAAGCCAGTTTGTTACTTCGGTTCTCAGTGCTAGGCATTCTAGGAGCTTGGCCACAAGATTTCTGGTACCCTGTGATAAACTCTTCTGTCATGGCTGGGTTCCCAGAAAGGTGTTCCTGCTCTTGAAACTGCTAGTGAAATCACCTGGGCACTCTTTCACAATCCTGCTTGTCACCCATGATGTACCTGGCAAGACCCCTCATTGCTGCTCTTCCCAGCATCAGGCTGTGTTTTCTTTTTCTGTTGTTCTGGGAGGCAAAGCGGCTGGGTCGACAGAGCCAGAGGCCAGACCAGCCTGACCCTAGGGATGTGCTGGCATGGGCTGGTGGGGAGATACAGAGCCCGATTGGAGACACGCCATTCCCAAACACAAAATTTGCTCCTACCTAGCGTATCTCCCCCTTACTGGTGCCATGGGCAGCTGACCAAGACCCAACTAGGCCTAAGGCTGAGGCTCAGAACCTCTTGTCTCCTGGAGACTGAGATGCCGCCCAGGGCCAGGAGCCAGGACCCGTCCCCACGGGCTTGTTTTCCAGGCCTGTTCAGGAGCCTCGCGCCCACTGCACTTTATTTTATACACAGGTACTACATGCCTTTGTTATCTTTCCTATTGTTACAGTGTTTTTTATACGATTAAAACACTAAATAAAGTATTTTTCATTATTAATCATGTCGATTCCTTAAGTTGATTCCAACAGTCAGCTGACCCCTGCTCTGCCAGGCCCCCGCGGTCGCGCCGCGGGAACAGCCACAGACGCCGTCGCACCGACCACCCGCGTCTCCCTGCCCAACCCAGCAGCGCCCGTGAGGACCGGGAGCCGGGGCGTCGGCGGCGTTCTCGTGACGCCATCACGTCGGGCCGGTGACAAACGCCTCTTTCCCGCGCCACAGGAAGTGGGAGCACTGCGCAGGCGTGAGGGCCAGGCTTCTCGTGTGCTCCCAAGAGCCTCGCGAGGCTTGGGGCGGCGTCCTTCCTGGGGGCGGCACCCGGGCCGAGCGGAGGGGTCCGGGTGCGCGGGCGGGGGAAGGAGCTGGGAGATGGTGTTCCGAGCGGCCCGCTGGCTAGCGTTGGCACCCGTCCGATCTGGGGCTCTCCGGAGAGGGCCGATCTTGAGGAGAGGTGGCGATGTCTCTGCCGTATGCGGCGGCTCAGGTCGGAGCCCGGTACCGTCGAGGTCAGTCATCGCTACCCGCAGCGGCGCCATTTTGCCCAAACCCGTGAAAGTGAGTCTGCTTGGAGGCGGGGCGAAGGGGCCGAGGCCAATCGCTGCGGGTAATGTGTGCGGACCGACGCTGATTGACAGGCGCAAATTCCAATCATACGATCGCTTTAGACTGGAAGGCGGACCAAGGACAAATTTTTGCGCTAATTGTTGCTAATTTTGACAGGTGGGAGGAAATGATTGGTTAGAACTTCTTATCCAGGTGGGTAGTTGGAGACAGAAGCTGGGGGGCAAAAGCTGAGAAAGACGGCATTTTGCATTAACTTATTATGAGAGATGCGGTGCCCTCTCCCTCTGGAGCCAGAAGACTGGGCTTTGTGCATCCGGTTTAGACAAGTCATGTAATCTCTGCTCTGTCTGCCTCAGAGTTGACGGGATGAACTAATGAGTTGTGAAGGGGCTTTGTGAATAAACGGTACGTGGGATGAGCCTTTTCTTTTTAGTTGTGACCTAGTATTTAACTGATGTGATCTGCAGTTGTGAGACGTGTGCAGGGGATTATTTCAATCATTGTTTTTACAATTGAAAAATCAAGGGCCGGAGTGGTGAAGCCAGTATCCCAGGCTAGCGGCCGAGTTAGGTCTGGCTGTCCAGGTTTCTTGCTGGTACAACCCCAACCAGGTCCTATTTTTTTTTCCACCACTGAATGCTATGACATGCCCTCAGTACCCTTGGGTTTTTCTTAGGAAAATGGAAACAGTCCCTTTGCTTTTTGACTGCAGGGATATGTGGGAATTACAAAACAAAATTAAATTATTTTAAAGCTAGTCTGGCCTATGCTAACAATTGACAGCAGGGTGGTTTCACAGCAAGAAGCAGGAAAGTGCAGGGTCCATGGAGGGAAAGAGCTGCCTTATAAAAAGGCACATCTGAAAAAAAAATTTTTGTTTTAAACTTCTGGAATAGGGCCGGCCCGGTGGCGCACTGGATAGTGCGCCGCTTGGGAAGCGAGGCGGCGCTCCCGTCCAAGGGTTCGGATCCCACATACGGACCGGTTCCCGCTCACTGGCTGAGCGAGGCGCGGGAGCAACACCGAGGGTTGCAATCCCGTTGCCGGTCCCCCGTCCGGTACGGGGGCAACACTGAGAGTTGCGATCCGTTGCCGGACACGGAAAAAAGACAAAAGACAAAATAAATAAATAAATAAATAAATAAACTTCTGGAATATACAAGAGAAAATGTTGATGAGATTTTACTGACATTCCTCCAGTCTATCTAAATAGTCTTTTAGTGTAAAGACATGCCCACTTTTCAAACACACCTGTTTCTAAAATTTAATGGGGTAAAATCAAATTTCTCAGGAAATAGGGAACCTGTTAATGAACTGTATAGAAAATCCCTTCACTGTACATCTTTCTGCAATCTATTTTCACGTATTTAGTATCTTCTTCAAGTAGAGCTGACCATAGTACAGCCCTTTTAGTACTTTCTCACCTGCTTGTATGTATCTGCAAGTAATTAGCATGTTGTGCCCTTATTTTTAGTTGTCTAGAAGGCCTTATACTTTTTTTCTCAGTATCCATTTTGATGTCCATAACAATCGTAAACTTTACCTCCTTTTCTAAGTAGTTTTCTTGTTCTCAATTCTTACAAGGCCGTTAAAATCGGGTTGCTTATGGTGGGTCTGGGGTCCACAGGAGGGAATGCCCCTGAAAGGGCCAGGCCTTCTGCGGTCCTGCCAGAATGGGCTCTGGGCCTCACAGCCACCACTCTGACCCTCTACAGATGTCCTTTGGCCTTCTCCGTGTGTTCTCCATTGTGATCCCCTTTCTCTATGTTGGGACACTAATCAGCAAGAACTTTGCTGCTCTGCTTGAGGAGCATGACATTTTTGTTCCAGAGGACGATGATGATGACGACTAACAGGTAAGACTTGCTTTTCCCCTAGATGAATCAGGAGCAGGAAGCAGGGCAGAGCATCTGATCTGTGTTGCAGTCTGGCCTGGTAGCAGCAATTGGACACTTGGGGCAGAACCTTTAATGAACTGACCCACTGTGTCAGTCCGTTTTGTGTTGCTATAACAGAAATACCTGAGACTGGGTAAATTATAAAGAACCAAGTTTTATTTGGCTTACGATTCTGTGACAGCTGCATCTGGCATGGGCCTCAGGCTGCTTCTACTCATGGCAGAAAGCGGCAGGCAGCCGGCAGGTACAAGCAGATCACATGGCAAGAGGAAGCAAGAGAGAGAGAGGGGAAGTGCCAGGGTCTTTTAAACAACCAGCTCTCACAGGAACTAACAGAGCAAGAACTCACTCACTACCCCTACTCCCCCAGGGGGAGCATTAATCCATTCATGAGGGATCCGCCCCCATGACTCGAACAGCTTCCAGCGCTGCCACATTGGGGATCAGAAATCCACATGCGTTTTGGTGGGGACAACACATCCAAACTCTGTCACCCACTTAAGTGGCTAATTTTTTTTTTTCTTAAAAGATGACCGCTAAGGGGATCTTAACCCTTGACTTGGTGTTGTCAGCACCACGCTCTCCCAAGTGAGCTAACCGGCCATCCCTATACAGGGATCCGAACCCTTGGCCTTGGTGTTATCAGCACCACACTCTCCCAAGTGAGCCACAGGCCAGCCCTAGTGGCTAATTTTTTGTTTGTTTTGTGGCTGGTGGGTGTGGGGATCTGAACCTGTGACCTTGGTGCTAACACTGCACTCTAACCAACTGAACTGACCAGCCCTCTTGCTGGCTAATGTTTTTATTTTGCCTTTTCCCTGTGTTGGATAAGGGAAACTGTCATATTTACTTACAAATTCACTGGGGATCTTTTAATTAGTCAGGATCCCAGCCAGCCTTTTTAGTTGACCTTGATGTACCCTCATTCAGTCAACCCATACATTTTCTCAACACTATGCCTTACACACCCACCACTAACAGCTTCGCATCAGCAGTTCCATATGGAAATTTAGAAACTGCAAGTCCTCACAACTGTCAGCTCTAGTTACCAAGCTCTGTTCCAGTACAGCCTGTGCATAGCACCACAGGCTGGCTTATCTACTGCTCACAGACCCTTTCCCCAGGAGTCCCAGTCCTCTTCCCATTCACCTCTCTTGTGTTGACTTCCTGTGCTCTTAATGTGGGAGTATTACTTTCATAGATAAAGAAGGTTCTGACTCCTTATCCTGGCATTCAAGGCTTGCCATGATCTTGTCACACCTTATCCCAGTCTCATCTTCCATATTTCCAACCATGCCTATCCCCAGTATTCACCATTTCTTGAATTATCCACACTCTTACCCATCACCAAGCACTGGCACATTGTCCCTCCCACATGGAAGTCTCTTTCCCACTGCTCTGTCTTAATTCCATTCACTCTTCAATGTCTGTGATGACGTCTTCTTCATTCCCCCATTTGAAAGTGACTGCTCCTTCCTAAGTGATCGGTACCTCTTTCATAACACTTAAACACACACACACCAAAATTCTACTAGACAATGAGCATCTTGCTGGCAAAGAACATGTATTTTATACTTTTGGTCCCCCAGGTCCTGGCCTATGTTTGTATGAATAAATAATCCTACTCAAAACTGCCTTTCTCCTGTCATGTTTGGTAGAACCACTCTGTAATTCCCCTTCGGTATGTAGGAGGACTGCTCTGTTGTCCAATTCACTGCTGCTCTTCTTTCCTACAGGACATGGAGGAAGTACAGAAAGGAGAAAGCACTAAACTTAACAGATGGTGATGCTCTTGGCCTTTCTTCCTTCTCTATCAGCAGAAGGGCTCATGGAAAGCCCTCAGTCTCCCATGTCCAGTGAAGTCTCCTGCATGGTCTGTGACCACAACCCAGATCCCCAAGCTCTGGGAGGTTCCCTGAAATGTGCTCTCCATTGAGCATTGGAAAAACAGTCAATTATGAATAAACATAATAAATATCAGCTGTGAATGACTGAATGATGGCTGAAGTTTCTCATATGTGCAGGCCTATCTAGTTGTTGCAGTTTGACTCTGTTGTCTCTTCTCTATCAGAGAAGCATAGGCCTTTGATTTACAACCCAAGATATCCAGGTCCCTATGCATTCACAAAGGTAGATATGGGGGCTTAGGGTCGATTTTCATTATTTACAAAAGCCTGAAACAAACTTTTCCCTTAATAAAGCTGCACAGGCTAACTAAAGCCTCGGGCTTTTCTTGTGTTCAATAATACTGTGCTAATCGTGAGGAGCTGATTGTTAGTTTACCACTACCTAAATAGAATGATTCTTTCAAAACTTGGGTCCCTTAGGTGCAAAGATAATAAAGGGATCCTTGGTGTTGAACTCTTCAGGGTGACTGAACCTCTTTCTCCAGCATTTGGACTATCCAGGGAGGGAACAGAAAAGACTACCATTCAAGCCAACAGAGATCAGTTCTTTAACCTAGGTTGACATTTATTGTCAGTTACACCAGAGTTCACGAAAAAAAAACCCAGTAGGAATATCTCTGTGTGCATTGAACAGCTGTGCCCCTAGCAAGATGTCTGAGTAGGAAGTTAATTTCATGTCAGCATTTTTTTTGGCAGCTGGCCTGATTGGGGATCTGAACCCTTAACCTTGGTGTTATCAGCACCATGCTCTCCCAAGTGAGCTAACTGGCCAGCCTGTCATTTTAAAGACTAGTGCTTCTTGCAAGTAGAAGGGCTGGGCCTCTGAGCATCCATTTTCTTCAGAACCCAGGGAAAAATAGTCCATCTTGTCAGCTCTTGTGCTGCTTAGTGCCTGTTAGTGCTGCTTTCATCCCTCTGACAGCAAGAAGTGGCTAATTTTGGAGATTCTGTGCCCTGACACCATGTCCAATTGTGATAGTAGAAACACAACTTAATCAAAAAGTTATATTGCCTCATACTTAGTGACAGTTTCTGAGCAGATGGCCTCATCCCCTCCTGTTTACTGACATGTAAGGCTCTGAGAAAAAGATTCCAATCTAATATACGGCAAACACCACACTTCACAAAAAGAGAATGAATGGATGTTGTGCATACCAAGACCCCATTTGTTCAGGCAAAAAGTGAAGTGTCTGCAGAAATCTGGTTCACAAATGGAATTTTATCACAAAGTGACCATCATATAATGAGTTTATTTGTACTCTAAAATAAATACCAACACGCACTTTTCCACTTAGTGACTTCATGGGTCATGGCCAACATAGAACTTGGACAGGAAATCCTTTGGCCTTGGCACTTCTGTTTCATGGAAGAACCGCATAACATGCGTCTGCTGTTTCCATACTTTAATCGTTTCCTCCAGTTCCATCTTTCCCTGTACAAGTGAGGAGGGAGGTCATCAGTCAAAGGAGTCGAGTCGAAGGAATACAACACTGAAGAGCAGGATTCTATTCTCTATTCAGCAGTGACCTGTTGAATGACCTTGGGCAAGTAACCCCTCTGTGTAGGCCAGTTTCTGCATCTGGAAAATGAGGTGGTTGGGCTAAATGATCTCTGAGGCCTTTCAAATATTCTTTAATTCTGTGGTTAACTGATCCCAAGAGGAGAGACTCCAGGTTAACAGGCCCCCACCTCATGACTGCCTAACCTCACTAGCTTAATTTATATTTCTGCTTAACATTTCTTCCATGTTATTTACTGGTCCATGCTGAAGCTCCCATTGATGGTAATGTGACTGGCCAGGGAGACAGAATCAGGTCCATGATTTGACCCCATTCACACAGGACTCATAGCCAATCTGCCTGCCTCTTCCAGCTGTAAGCTGGCATCCGCATGAAGCAGTAACTTCCAGGAGATGAGGTTCAAGAAGACTTCAAACTTCCCTGTGTCTTTTTTTAGTTATAAAATGCAAACCCCTGAACAATCTTATAATCCATTTAACAGATGTTAACCTGCAAGTTCAACTACTCCTTTGAAACACAGAGCAACAGCTGCTGAACCAGTGGTTGCTATTTAAACCTGGAGAAACACTGGACAAGTTGGCCGGTCTTTTAAATCAGTCAGGGAGGATAGGTTACCTTAATGACCAGAAGATCAACTACCCTGGGGTCTGTGACATGGGCATTCTTCATAAACATTTCTCGGACTTTATCCCGTCCCTGTTTCACAGTGATGTCTAGCTGGAATAAGTGCACTAGGAAGAAAACATGATTCAGGGTAGAAATTATGTTGGTTAAAATGTTTTTAAAAATTTGAGCCAACAGATACTCATTGAACATGTACAGGTCACCCATTCATTCCATTCACAAAGTGTGAGATATAGCACTTGCTCTGTAGGACCTTTTGTTTGGGGAGACCACTGCATTTGAAGAGGCAGTATACATAATTCAAGAGTCTGAACAACCTGTGTTCAAATCTCAGCTCTGTCACTTATCAGCTATATGATCCCGTCTAAGTTACCTTCTTTGTGCCTGAATGTATCTATTTATCAGTGAAATGAGTATGGTAATAGCACATATAACTCCAGAGCTGTTCTGAGGATTCCATGAGATAATGCAAAATGCTTACAACAGTGCCTACCATGGAATAAGCTCTCAATAAATGTAAGCAATATTTTTAAATAGAACAATCAGCAAGAGGATGACACAGTTGAAATGAATGTAAAATGAGGTGGCGTAGGCTTAAGTACCACATGAACTTGGAGTTGAGGGAGATTGCTCAGTCTGTGCAGGTAGGGAAGGCTTCAACTCAACAAGCAATACTGTATTAGGTTACTTGAGGGAAGAAGAGAGAAGTTTACGATGTAGCAGCAGTTCTCTAAGTCTTAAATTCTGATGGGAGGAACAGCCATCCGTGAACACAAACATAAAACCACAATATTGAGCAATCCATAAGTAAGAGCCTAAAACAGTGGCACAGACTCAGTGATGTAGAACTTCAGATGAGGCATATGAATGGATGTCCTTTGAAAATTAGGTTTTGATCATTTGTATTCCCACCCTCTGGCACACTCAGCCTTCAGTGGATTTGTCAGTGACAACAAGGGAATGAAAAGGGTCTTGTGTGGTAGGTGGAATATAGACAGGGTGAGAGAGGCACATTAGGCTGAGGGAACAGCATAAGCAAGGCTCACAGGCTAGAATGAGCAGTGTGGTTAAGGAGACCACTGTACTCATTTGATTAGGATACCTTGTGTTGTGGCCATTCCTGTGACATGGGTACCCTGGTCTACAGAGCTATCACAACCAGCTCTGAAAACCATGAAGGCCATTTAGTGACTGAGTCATCAACAATAAAGTTTGAATCTTTTTTTTTTTTTTTTTTAAAAAAAAAAAAAAATGACCGGTAAGGGGATCTTAACCCTTGATTTGGTGTTGTTAGCACCATGCTCTCCCAAGTGAG